ACATATGTTTCATATGTTTGTTGTTGTTTGATTTATCATCTACGGGTTTATGTCGAATTAATTTGATGGCCTGCTCCCAGTTGGCTTGTTAGCTCAATTGGTAGAGCGCTGCACTAGTATCGCAGAGGTCAGTGGTTCGAGTCCCGTACAGGCCTGAAATTTTTTTCAGGTCTGATTTTCACTATTGCTCAAATAGTGCTTTACTGCGAAGGATCGTGCACATATACATATATAAATCAACATTTTAACATGATTTTGAGTACAAGTTCAGTTTTAAGATTTGATAACTCATCTTCAATATTCAGCTCAAGGTATAAAGGTGAATTCCCATAGGAAAATGAATTTAAGTCTTGATTAAATGAAATGAATCTTTATATTTACAAGCCAACTGTGACAATTCTAGTTAAAGTCCTCGAAAACCCACATCGGGAGATATGACTTTGTAATAGTAGTCACAGCATCCTTCGTTTTCATATGAACTAGCAAATCTTAGCTCATTGGCTTCGTCGATTGTCTTGATTCGCTTGTCATTTGAACATGGCAGACACCTGGTGGACAGCTGTAGTCTCTCTCTCTCTCTCTCTCTCTTGGCGACACGACCTGTGCTCGGCTGAGATTTCCCGATAGCAGTAAGAACCATTTGCTTCAACATCATTTTGGTTTTACGGGCCCACATTCCTGGTGGACAATTTTCAACGTCTCGTTTGTTTTTAAAAGAGGAGTCCATGGATTCTATGTTCATTTTCAGAGCCCTTTTATTAAAGAAAAGGACAGCGGCACCGGAGATATCTCGCCATCCATCTCCAACCTCTGACCGCTTTTCAGTTTGACAGCTCCAGACTCCAGGAGGGCAAGCCTCAGAATCGTGTCGAGTCGCTGATAGTTTTACTTTCCGCTTGATATCGATGAGGCCGGCAAGAGCCAACTGAATGGAACAGACAGTAAAAATGACAAAAGTAGCAAAAAAGTTCATTTCCAAATTGGGTAAAGGTATCGACGAAGCAACGATTTTAACAACCTTCTAATGCTTGATCATTATCTGCTCAATGGAATGTTACTTTCGGTTCAATGGATCTTTCATGATCTTTTTATTGACGGACCACAGCCGGGCTCCGAAACGTGAAATTCATTCCATATCACCAAAAGCTGCGTCCACCTCCTTAAAATGTTCTTTAGTAATAATAAAAATTTGAAACACTCAATTGGAAAGGTGCGCAATCTTTACGTATGAAAAAAAAAACTAGAAACACAATGCGAATTTGTTGAACGAAGGCTGTGACAACTCGGCTAGCTTAGAGAAATATCAAACTGTGTCGAAACTGATCCGGCGTTGCTTTGTTTTTGCTTTATTTCGTTATGTGGTTTGTCCAGAATACTCGTTCTACTGTCTCAACAAATCAGATTTGAATCTCAAACCAATTGAATTTGATACTCGCGTTTTTTTCCCGTGCTTCAGGAAGTTTGCATGTTTTTACTTCGAGTACTCATTGGCTCCTGGTGATGTTTTCCTTCTTACTTTTGTTCCTAACTTAGTCATCCACGTGTTTGAATAAAGGTTTGTCTACCTTTATTGTTATCTGTGTAGTTTTATTTCACGCTTTAAAGCCGGCTGGGGAATTCCACATCGCCAACAGCTGCGATCTTTTCTTGAATGTGTTGGAATATTAAGCCTCAAGCAATGTTCACGACGGAGAAAAAGGTTAAATGGTTCAGGAGAAGCCCTGAAGAAAAAAAATTCAATTTTTCAATCACTGAACCAGCCTACGAAAAACTGCTAAATTACATTCCACGTACAGTAAAACATTGCTGAATTCGATGATCCATTTTTTTTTTTTTTTGGTATTCGGACTCATCTTTATGGATACTGATTAGTCACAGTCCGTTACAACTTTTTTTTCATAAAAAAGCACATGTAATGAAACATGCGTTGCAAATGAAGGGGGAAGGGGGGGGGGGCAAAAACTACAAACACGGAAAGGCTTATTATTTGACAGCGGCTTCCCGAGGAACTTTGTATCGGCCGCGGCCACCCATGAAACATGGCGGGAAAATTAAATATTGTAAACACAAAAAATATATAGAAAATACAGAATTCACACTTTTTTCGTGGAGTAGATAGAGATTGATTCCTGGTGATATTTTGCAAATTCTGGAGCATTTATAGTCACTCAAAGGTCCAAAACTTTGGAAATATTTTTCCTTTCATCAAATGCATGGTCCGGATTTTTAATAGTGACGACTTTTAATGGTAAAAACCATTGTTAAAATTAAAAAAAGATCCAGTTTGTATGACTAGATACCTCTTTTTTCATTTTTGTTATGGGAAATACCAAATATGGTCGTGGTTCAAACCATATAAAGGGGGCATGAATCGAACAAACTTGACCAACTGTGATGCCCGCCAGGGTCAAGGAACCGAAGTTAAGGGGGTTGTGAAGTTGTCCTTAGCAAGTCCTTAGCAAGTCCTTAGTACAGACTTGTACCCTCCTTATCACGGCTGAAAGGGCAGTGCAGTGTTGACCCTAATCAACTCATGCAGCTTCACAGGAAGATGAAATCAGCCATGTGAACACGCTGTAAAAGCTTAAAAGAAACAGATTTACATCAGCATTTGAGGTTGATATAAAACGTGTTCTTTATTCGTAAATAATTTCAGCGGCAACTGTGGACAATTTATGCGTAGTGATTTGAGAACGTGCTTTAATTCTTACATATTATTAATAAAATGATATCAAGAGAATATAAGGTGACACGTATTACCTTTTAAGTCAATAAGTTTTATTTTTGGCTCGTTAGTATTCACATTTTCGATTATTCGGCTCTTAATTAACCAGACTATTCATTCCTCAAGAGTCCAAATAATTGAGAATCGACTGTATCTTTCTTGAAAGAAATTATTATAATTTTAAATGAAGTTCAACACAGATGCTCTCATATAAACATATCAAAACGTGGCTATAACAACAGAAAGAGGATTACAGACATGGTTTCAATATCCCATTTATTCATGATTTCATCCTTGTTTAACCCTGGGGACTAGGTGCACTGTACGTGTGTTTTGTCGGACTAAACTAGTGCTCCATTCAGAAAATAACCAGTTTTGTAAAAAACTCTTTTAATTATCCTCCATTAAAAAACGCGCGCTTATATATACTCAGTTTAAAATATAATATGCTAGTAGTCTGGGGTATATACAATCTCTTACATCTGTAGCATTTAAAGTATCTTACAGCAGACTCAGTTCAAGTATTAAATCTCAAAGAAAACAAATGCAGCAATAATTATACATTTTAACTCGATTTTGAGT